ATAGGAATCGAAATTTAGTTTAGTTTTTTAATAACGAATTTTTCGTCTTCGACAAGAAACAAAAAATAATTAGAAATAAATAAATGTCTTTGTTTGAATGAAAATGGATCTTGCAAAGAATAGGATCAAAATTTAGGTTAATTTTTAAAACTGAATTTTTCTTCAACAAGAAATGAAAATATTTAGAAATGAATAATGCCTTCATTTGAATGAAAGTAGATCTTGCTAAAGAATAGGAATTAAAGTTTTATACAATTTTTTAAAAACTAATTTTAATCAAAAAATAATTAGAAATAAATAAGGCTTTGTTTGAATAAAAATAGATCTTGTCAAAGAATAGGATTTGAAATTTTACAAAATTTTTAAAAACAATATTTCGTCAAAAAATAATTAGAAATGAATAAAAGCTTTGTTTGAACTAGCCAAAGAATAGTAATTGAAATTTTACTTAATTTTTTAAAAACAAAATTTTGTCAAAAAATAATTAGAAATGAATAAAAGCTTCATTTGAATGAAAATAAAACTTGCCAAAGAATAGTAAATAAAATTTTTAAAAACAAAATTTCGTCAAAAAATAATTAGAAATAAATAAAAGCTTCATTTGAACTAGCCAAAGAATAGTAATTGAAATTTTATTTAATTTTTTAAAAACAAAATTTCGTCAAAAATTAATTAGAAATGAATAAAGGCTTTGTTTGAATGAAAATGGATCTTGCAAGAATAGGAATTAAAATTTTATACAATTTTTTAAAACCGAATTTTCGTTGAAAAATTATTAAAAATGAATAAAAGCTTCATTTGAGCAAAAATATATTTTTCCAAAGAATAGGAATTGAAATTTTGCTTAATTTTTAAAAATGAGTTTTCGTTGAAAAATGAATAAAGGCTTCATTTGAACGAAAATGGATCATATCAATTTTAGTCTTATTGCTGTATTGTAATATATATTATTTGCCTGTATCTTATTAAATTACGTAATATTATCTGTTACTGAATCTTATTATTCCCAAAATCAATAACTTATTGACTTCGGCCGAATAGACTTCAGAAATTTTTTAGAGTGTTCCAGAATTTATGAAAACAGCTGTAATACATAATTAAATTTTTAGTTTAATTTTTTTTAAAGTTATACTTAACTCAATCTTTTTTGCTTTATTAAATTAACCTTTTTTTTAATTCATTACTAGACCTATTACTAATAAAGGTTAGATTTAAACATTTTTTACAATTGTAATGATTTGCAGATTTTTTCAATATTCCACAAGATTTAAGTAAAAAATATTAGTCTTTTATGGTTTCATTTGCATAATACATGAAATATGAGAAGTAGAACATATAAGAACATATTACACTCCAAAACCCAGAAAGCCATTTTCTCAAAAGGAAAGAATACTGACTAAATTGGCCAGCATTATAACTAACATGGCTAACTTTGCCATACTATATCTTTTTCAAGAATCTGTCTCTCAGAATTACTATGAGAATAGTAGTTATGAATTTTAGCTAATAATTGGGGTATAAGAGGTGTGGCGACTTAGTGTAGTGGTCTAGTCGTTACCCTCTCCAAGTAGCAGGTCTAGAGTTCGAATCCCATGGACAACGATATTTGAAAAATAGGCCTGTGTTCGTTTGATAGCTATGTTTATCAGTTGGGTCTAGAACTAATCTGTAACTTCAGTCACACTATCTAAAAATGGGAGCTTTGGCGCAATAAATCCGAAGAACCAGCATAACTGAAAACCCATTTGGAAAGTCCCGAATTTGGAGGTAACAGTGATTTTTGACAGTACTACAGGAAGGCTGAATTCGAACCGGGGCCCAAGATTGGAGAACCGAGCGATTAGGTCTTTAAGTGGGGAGACATACCAACCAAACCACCAATTTGGGGAGCTTGAAATTTGCGGTGGGTATATTAGCTACACCAACCAGGTCACTAACATAAGGGAAGTTGATAGTGGGGGCCCTATCCTGGCAGACCATAGGATTGGAAGTCCTGAGCCTAATGGCACCAACGAAAAAATAGCTGGGTACTCTGAAGAACTGAGTACCGCAAGTTGGAGGAAAAGGACACATGCTATAAAAGTGTGTACCAAGGTGAGATGGGCTAAAGGCACCTAGAGCAGGGCCTAAGTCGAACCTTCCGGGTTGTCGATTGGAAGTAAGGGATAGACCAATAGAGAATCCGGGTAAGAAGACAGTTGGAACGTGGGTACTGGGGTTGTTGTGAACCATATAAGGCAGGAGTACATAATAGACAACTAATTAGGAAGGTTGTGGCTTGAGATATGGATTGGGTTGTAGCAGCATCCCAAAAGTTGGCTTGAGATATGAACCCGGTATCAGCAGCACAACAGGTACTAGTTAGAAAAAAATTACCAAACATGCAGGTAAAAACATGTATGGGACATGGACTACTCTGTTAGGTTTAGCTCGTGGATAGACTGGACCCCTAACGGGAATTAGTAAGTCCTAAGGTGGGTGCAAAATCGGATTGGGTAGATACAAAGCTAGTATAGTGAGTAATACCTCAGGTTAGAGATTACCTATTGGCTTGAAAGTAGGTTATAGTCAGAGGGTTTAAATGGGTACTTCCCTAGTTGGGGTACAGATATAGCAGATAGTATAGAATCTTTGGGCAGACTACTTAAATAGGCATCCAAAAGGTGCACATGTGGCTTGATGTACCCTTACTGTAACTGAAAGAATTAAATTTCTAATAAAATGTTTCCCGGTCTAAGATGTCACCTTAATACCGGAAAAAAAAAATAATAATTATTGGGTATAGCATAAACATCAAATAATTGAATAATAATTCTAATACGTAGCTCTTTATTTAATACTAAATAATCGTTTTAACAGTTCTTTTAGCATTTAGTTAGGATATCTATATTATATATTATAATTTTTGCAAGAAACTTTTTTTGTTAAAAAATAAAAATAGTTTATAAATAAATTATTATACATTATACTTAATGAAATGTTTTATTATTTATAATATAAGATTCGAATAAAAGTTCATATAAATACAATCATCCTCCCATACAATCACACAGTTGAGTACATAGTAACTTTTTTTTAAAATGTGCTTATAGAGGAGTTGTGCTTATATGGAGGTTTTTTTCTTATAAATTAAATTATATTTTGGTCCAAATAAAAATGTGATTATATATGATATAATTATATAGAAAGTGACTATATAGAGAGACGACTGTAGTTTAAAAACAACCTTAGCATTCCTCCGAAAAAATATAGGATACAAGTTAAATAACACAAACAAAAATCATTTAAATTAGAAGTTACACAATTTAATTATTTATATATTAATAATAGTACTAATAGTTCATACTATACATACGTACAATATAATTTTTGAATGATAACACTGTAACAAAAATACATATATTAATTACTTTTAATAAAAATTTCAAGCATTTGAGTATTTTAAATTGCATTTCTTATTTATGAATCGAGTTAAATTAACAATAAATTTCTAAGCACTTATTATAATTTTATTTGCTATATATATAATAAGAATAAAATTAATAAAAAACAAAGCTATCTTGACCAATATAATTTATACACTTACTTCCAACTAAACTTTCTTTACCAAAATTCTTTCAATATTATCACTGCTCTTTATATTTATAACTGTAATAGTATTTGCTTTTATTTTTTATTTTTAGTTTGAGTAAATTTATCTCTACTTTCACGAAGTAATTTATATTATTATTTAGCAGTATTTTATCAATCTATAATGCAATTTTAGTTACATTAACTTCACTAATCATAGTTGAAATTAGCTCAGTTGATAATTCTAATTTTAAAATAATGCAAGATAGTAGAATTGTTGAAATAACTTTATCATCGGGTGACAAAATACTTTAATTCAGATCTTTTTAATAAATTTAAGATACAGTAATATATAATTTGTAACATCTTTACTAGACATTTAAAAGAATACTGTAAATATAATGGAAAAAAATTTTTAATAATTTATTTATTTCATGATTCAAATAATACAGTAATATAGAAATACTTTTTATTTTTTAATCAATCATTTAGAATATTCCTCTGTAATTGTTTGTGAATTTAATCGAAAAAGTGGATATTTTTTTTGTATTTACTGAATAGCGAGTTGTACTTGAAGATAACAATTTATATCCTGTTTAGTGTTCAGATTTTGATAAACAAGTTAGTAAAATATTATCACTATAAATTATAATAAAAATTTTTATATTATTAAAAACCTGACTTTTTTCAATCCCAATATAGTGTATTGCGATTAAAATCCTTGAATGTTTTTAGCATAATGTGTTGATTTTCAAGAGTTTCAATATCATCAATCATCTTTTCAAGTGGTTTAAAATTTGAATAAACATTTTGTAGCTACAAATAACCTTTAGATTTCTCATACAATTGCATAAGCAGGTTTTTAGCCTGTAAATATAGAAATTTATAAATATATATTTATAATTTATAACAATCATTTATATATATAATAAATTTATCTTATCTAATACGTTGTTTAAGTGATTCAGATTTTGATAATAAACCTCTTGTTCGTTATTATTCTCTATTTTATATTCCTCTTCATATTCAACAATTGACTCTTTAATTATTGAAATTTATAAAGCTTTAAAATTGTGATAATAAAATGGATTTAAAATTCACCTTCATATGTAGCAATTAATAGATAATTTCCATTATGCTGAATCTGTAAATTAAAAATAAATAATATATAATAAATAAAATTATAATAAAGCATAATTATAAATATATTACATACCTGTTTAAAAAAATCTGTATTCATTTTATTAACTGAGTTAACCAAATATTTGCATAGAAAAAATCTACTATTCATGTATGCAAGACATGTACATGTCCATTGACTAAGATTCATAGAATATATTTTTTTTATATATTTTTTTTTCAAGACTTCTCCATTCGTGCTTAAATTCCTTTCTCCATAGTACTATATAATGACCTTGTTGTAATAAATGAAGTTGGTGCAATTGTTGATTAATAACCCTTGTTACTAAAATAAAGCATAGATAATCAATTTGCAGCTTATAAAATTTATAAAGATGATCATGTTTAATATGTCGCCAATGTGACTTCATGATCATTGTTGTTCTAATATGGCTGATTTTATTATCTGCAGCTCGTGCCCACAAGATCCATCTTTTTTGACAGTACCAATTATTTCAAAAATATATTTAAAGGTCAATTAAATTGTTTTCTTTGCAAAAAGAAATCATCTCTTTAACACACTCTTCACATATAGCTTGCGAGCTAATATAATATTCACCATTTGATTTTGGTAGCAACATGTGTCGATTATAATAAATTTCAACAAGATTGAGAACTTGTTTTCTAAGATTCAATGGACAAAAAATATGCATTGCATTATTATTCGACTTTTTCTAGTAGGGATCAATGGTAGAATATTCTTTATATGCAACAATTGGATCATATGAATAGTTAGAAATTGACTGATTTGACACTATTCTTTGTTTTACTTCCTATAAAACATGCCAATAGCATAATTGCAATCATGTATTTGGCCATACTTTTAGAGTTGCATTAATTTCACTAAAGTCCTTATCTATTAAAATAAAAGAAATATTTATTAATTGTCGATTTTTTAACTCATTTATCCATTGAATTAAAATTTCTGTAATATTTTGACCTTTTCTTGTAGCAACTTATCGAGAAGCCTGTTCCATCAATTACACCTATAATTGCATATAATTCCTATCCCATTTTATTTGTTCCATAGGTTGCATCAATTTGGATCGCTTCAAAATTATTATACGGAAGCTGATAAAAAAGTGCAGTAAGAAACCCAAGAGCTAGTGTTGGAACAGTTACATCAACAATTATTTCTTGATTAAGTTCGGTTAATAAATTTTTGCTAATAAAAAAGGATTAAAATTATGATGATACAATTTTTAAGATTCTTTGGACCACCAAAAATATGTTTGCTAAACTGTAAGATTTTGATTTGTTTTTCTTATATAATTCTGAAACCAGATAATTTATATTATGCTTAATAAATTCTCGAATTTCTAAAGTAGTTGTTACATAAATTGGACGCAGGTATAACATTAAATATGAATATTAAATCTTGATTAAATTTGAAGCTTCTACGATCTCAACCTTAATAATTCCTTCATAATTATATCGTTCAATTCTTACTGAAGTATCTTTATGAACTTCTAAATTTGGATGTTTTATTTGATGTTTTGCTCCATCAATACGGCAATTGCAATGATAAACCACCATTAATGAAATTTTTTTTTGGTTTTTATCTTTATAAATCCATCTATAGCCATCTCCTTCTTCAACAGATTTTATTATGCGATGGGCAGTTTCCAGATAAAGTTTTTTATTATTATTACTGGAATTTTCCTTACTGTCTCCTTCTAAAATATTGCTGATAAGAGAGAGCAACTCAACATTAAAATCAACAACTAACTTCGCATTATCACCTTCATAAAATTTATTAGTGCCATCCAGAGAAATCAATGAATTATAGATAAATTCAACAATGTTTAAGTAAATAATTGTAACTTCATATTCTTGTTTCTGACTATTATTGGTTCGTAAGATCTTTCATTTATCTCTACATAATTGACACCAACTTATAATATCTTTATTATCATTAAAAAATTCTTTAATTTCTTTAGATTTATGATAATTTATACACATTTTTTGAGATAGATAGTTGATACTTTCATCAGCCATTGTTAAATAGGTGTAAAAAATCATGAACGTAAGTAAAAATTTACTAGCATAAGTAAACAATAAATTCTTTATATAGTGGGTGAAACAATTACATCATATTTTAAACATCAAAGATTCAAAATGTAGTCATATTGTTGTAAAACAGGTTTTCGTAAATTAGCTTAGTGTAGCACATAATTTAGATTCTATATTTTATATTATTTAGTTTATAGTTAGTAACTTATATTTTATATCAGATATTTATTATTATATTTGTATTATATATATTATTATTGGCATAAGAGTTAACAGAGACTTTATTAAGTAAAATAATAGAGTAGAGCCACTGTGGCATATATTGTGGCTAAAGTAGACAAGGTTGTATCAAAAATAATACACGGCCTTCAATTCTCTCAACATGGCTCTCAAGTCCCTCAAGTCCCTCAACTCCCTCAACACGGCTTTCAATTCCCTCAACATGGCCCTCAAGTCCCTCAAGTCCCTCAACTCCCTCAACACAGCCTTCAACTCCCTCAACACGGCCCTCAACTCCCTCAACACGGCCCTCAACTCCCTCTACTACCTTGGCTTGGCATGTAAAAGATATATAAAGGGTGTATTT